ATTATACATATAAATACATATCTTATTTAATGCATACGGTAGCATTATATATATAAATATACGTGGATGAGAACACCTAATAAAGTAAGAAAAGTTAAATGGCATATAATATAAAAATATTACATATTGTAAAAAATTATTTCTAAATCATTTTCAATTTTCAAAATATTAAAGAAAAGAATTTGGCCCCACATATTTCTTCCAATTGACAGACCGACTTCTTTCTTCTTTCCAACTTTTAGTTTTCTCTATCAAGAAACCCATAAACATGTCTCTTAACTCTAACCTCCACTCTGCCCACCGAAGCTGGTGGGCTTTATCCCCACTCCACCTGATTTTCTCTCCTCTTGATCCATTTTTGTTCGGTGACTTCCCTGAATGTAAGTTATATATGTACCCCCGCCAACTGCTGTATTTTACTCTATTATTACTTAACGAATGTCAAAATGGCAAGAAGATCCCATGAATTTCAATTGAATCTAGAATATAATGAATTCATGAAATTGGGGCAAATTGGCAAGAAGACAAAAGGAAATATTCAAGAGCTTCTTTTTTTCTTCTTTTATTTATGACTCAATATCATGATTTTGTTTCTCCAATCCTTTACATTTATATTTATTTGTTTCTCTCCTTTACATTTTAGCTGCAAACAGCTTGAACTGCCAGCCTACTTGTAACCCCGATGTCATTATTCAATTCGAATGTTGCATCTGATATTTCAATGCCACAACTCTGCTTTCCAACGCAAGCCTGCAATCAAAATCGCAAAACCCATTACTTGTTTTCCCTTACCAACGGACCCCAATTTAATGGAGGATGTTTATGTGTTTTCTTACCTTTTCCACTGCAGCCAGGGCGTTTGTTGCTTGGTAAGATCCGACCTTGAATGAGCCACAGGATCCCTGGGGGTCTCCAAAGCTAGCAAACTCAATGTCTGTGATTTCTTTCCCACCTTGGCATGACAACTCCAAGGTGCTTCCCAAATAAGCATGTCCACAAACTTTTCCAACGGTGACAATCTGGAAAGATATTGTGGATGTGTTTCCACCGATTTCTTCAAACAAAATCAATGTGTTAGTACCATTGTTGTTGAGGAACGATCTCGGAACGTGGTAATATCTCTGAGTAGGATTGCCGCAGTTTGTCCTGCATTTGTCATTGCTATATTGACCGCGATAATCACAGAAGGTGGTGCATCCATTTTCGTCTGCCTTTTCAGTAGGCCAGTAGCGGCCGAGATTGTGTCCGTTCACCCAAGCATAACCCTTGCCCATTCCTTGCAAGTCCACCACCACTGGATCTGTTCCTGCAGGTGCCTGGAAAGTGGTCTGAAAACACAAAGAAAGTTGAATTTAGGATTATGCTAGATCGAAAAAAACAAGGGAGATTGATACTGTTTTTGATATGTTCACAAAATTACCTTGTACCATGTCATGGGTCTCCCATATGGGAGTTTCTCAGCAACCCATTTTGCTTTTGCTGAATTTGGATCATAGAGACGCTTCACTTCACCATTCAATCCAACCTTTAGAGAAAAAGAACGAACAAATAAGTTTCCAAACAAGTTCTTCATAAACAAAATAGGGTAAGTGTTTGGAAGGAGGGAGAGATGAAACACCACCTTATAGAACCAAGTGGATGACGTTAAATCAATAGTATCCTGCCCATTATTTACCAGCTGGACTGAGCCCCCAATCAAGCCAGTAGGCTTCAAGTCGAATTTCGCACCATAATTCTGTCACACATTTGAAGTGATAATGAGAAATATACCCTATCAAGAATTTTTTCCAAGGAAAATGATGGAATTTCTTCTCAAGTTAATCCTACCGCCAATCCAATAGTGACACTGAGTATAGAAATGGTATTAGCCCCAAGTTTCAGCTTAACTGCGGGTTCCTCAAACACAAAGCTATAGTCATCTCCATTAACCATTTGCTGTGTATTGGCTTGCTTGGAGAACTGGTAGCCTGTAATCAAATTAAATTTTGCATTTAGGAACATTATTAATCTGGGGTTAAATCAGTTACAGAGGTTTGAGATCAAAGATATTATACCAATGAGCTTTCTGTTAACATAAGCAAAGAGTGCATGGCCATTGGTGCTGATGCGAAGGGTAGCATTCTTCCAATTCCATGATTTCCAGATTGTTTCGTTGATATTGACGCTAGAAATCACTCAAAATTTGTAACAATTGTCACTGATGAAATTGAAATTAATGGAATGGATGATTTATTACAGTTCTTACCTTGTCATGTACCAAAAGTAGTCGCTGATATCAAAAGTTGTTGATTTCTGCTCAAGAAGTACTCCAGCCTTGAACCTGCCCTTTCCTTGGAGGGTGTCTTTCATGGCCTCTGGTGACCATTCCCAGTTGAGCTGAGGAGCCTGTTGCATTTGTGCATCTCTATCTCCATCTCCATCCACGTCACGATCCTCCTTATTGTGTATTCTCTTTACCATCATAGAAATTTGTGTGTTCAGCTTTGCTGTGTTGTAAATTTCCTTGTTGCAACCATCAAGAAAGCTAACAGACCAGGCAGGCACAAAGTATTTTCTGCCTTGTTCTAGATCAATGTTAGTGTCTTTAGATTTGTCAGTGTTGCTCAACATACAGAATCTTGCCCCAGAAGAATTGGTGAATGTTGCAAGCTGATTTCCAAGAAAAATTAACATCATTTCCGATTCATCACTTCAAATTTTATGGACTCCAATATACTAGTTTTGGGACTTACATCAACACCGTTACCAAAACTCTTCCAGGTCACATTACCACTGGTGAGAAAACTCTCCCCAAGTTTAAGAGCTGCATGGAGTTGCTTTAAATGTCCATACTTCGGCTGGTTGAGATTTCCTGAAATTTCCCATTTTTAGAATAGTAAGTTTACTTCTGTGCAGATTGCAGAGTTCAGGAAGCAATAAAAGAATTGAATGCTTAATTACCATATTCATCAAGAGGTGCATCATAATCATATGAAGTAGTAATATATGGACCTCCTGAAGTGCGTCCAAAATTTGTTCCTCCATGATACTGAATTTTCAGTAAAAATGAATCAAGAATAAAATTCATTGAAAAACATGGAAAGAAATTCTGATGATTGTTGTAACTAACCATATAATAGTTCTGCAAGATTCCTCCATTCTGATAAAAGCGAGCAACAGCAAATGCAACATCTTCAGCAGTTCTATGTGGGTCTTTGCCACCCCAAGCCTTGAACCTAGTATAATATAATTGCAACTTTTTTAATTCCATTAGTCATGAAAGGCTAAGCAATATATGAAGTTAGTCAAGAGAAGTAAAAAACTCACCATCCAGTCCAGTTCTCTGTCCACATTTTGGGACTCTTGGCATTGTTTGGCTTGAATTGGTCACAGTAAAATCCATTGCAAGTATTGATCTTCAGAAAACCAAAAAGAGAAGCAAGTTTAATCCAGGACTTAAAATACCTAGTCAGACCCAATGGAAGTTCTAAATTCAAATCCTTCAGCTCCCACATTGAATGTAGGAAAAGTATAAATGGTATATACCATGGGTTGTGGGGCATTATCCTGCTGGCACATAATCCATGGGACACCAACGTTTTGGGCTACAGCCATCTGAGCACACCAGTTGATGTATTTCTTTCCAGCATCTCCATAACCATCCATGATATTTCCATATTCGTTTTCAATCTGTTGAATTTTAGAGCAAAATGGTTCAATAAAAATGTAAAACTATAATTAGGTTGAATATCAATATACACAAAAAATTCAGCATCAGTTTAAGGAACCTGAGCAAGAATGATGGGTCCTCCTTGCGATGCAAACAACTTAGCCTCTTTTGCTATGTTCACAATCTTTGTAGTGAAAATTTGCATTTCTTGCTGTTATCCCATGTAGAACTTTTAGAGAAAGCTCATTTTCAAGACAAGATTAGGAAAGGAAACATGGGGCCCGTCAATGATTTTACCTTGTATATATCATTGTCTGTCCTCAGTTGAATACCTGGAGTGTTATGCAGCCACATGGGGAAACCTCTGGAGGAATTTACTGAGTTAGTTTTAAAAAGTGACTGAATTTCATATATATATATATATATATATATAACCAAACTAACTTACCCATAATTCCACTCAGCACAGACATAAGGTCCAATGCGAAGAATACCATAAAGGCCAGCTTGTTGAACCAATTGGAAAAACTTTACAAAGTCCAGATTTCCAGTGAAATCATACTATATCGATCACCAAACAAAACCAGCAAGAAAGAGAAGAAGAAAGATTAATTCAACATCTTGAGTTAAAAACTTATACAAGTCCAGAGAAGAACTAATTAATTCAAACCTCACGACGGCGAGGTTCATGGAGATTCCAGAAGATATATGTTTCAATTGTATCAATCCCTCCATCCTTTGCCTTCTGAATCAGATCAGGCCACATCTGATAACACAGCAGGTATTTTAATTAATAAACTAAAACCAAAAAGTATCTCGAAGAAAATGTTTCAATAATTAAGAACTTATACTTCCACGTTAGAAGTTTCAGGTTCGAATCATAGGGAGGGTTATCACTGTTCCATATAACCCATCATCAGGTGCTACGAATATAAAAAACTACAAATATTTGCATTTTACCTCAGGGGTGCTACGAGGATAGTGAATGGCACCAGCAATGATGATCTTGCGCTGGCCATTGATGATCAGAGCATGAGCATCATAATCAATGGTAGCAGCTGAGCATGAACCAAGAACTGCTAGGACCACAAGAAGAAACTCAATCAAATATCTTGACAACATTTCGATGCGATTGACAATGCTCCTTTTGTCCTTTTTTTTTTTTTTTGAATCACAATGGAATCTCTTTTTTAATTACTATTGAACAGACGATTTGTCATACTCAAGAAAAAGATGAAAAAAAGATAGAGAAAAGAAGAAAAGGAAAGGAAAAAAAGAAAAAAGAAAAAAGAAAAAAAGAGTAGGATGCAACAAGTCTTCTGTTCTGAAGCTTGTGGCTTGATTTACCCGAGCTGTAGATGAATGTATATATAGGAAACCCCATAGCTAAATTTATCAAATTATTTAATTTTAGACAACCGCTTTACCCAATTTTCAGAATACTTAATGTGGAGTTTTTTGCGGATTATCACAGATTGATTCAGGCCATTATTGAGCAAATTTATTTACAAGCTAAAATTCAATTGTTATTAGAAAGAAAGTTCTTAAATTAATGCTAAATATAACTTTTAATTAAAGGAGTTTTGTTTTACTGGATTATATCAAATTATAGAATAAAAATTGTTAGATAAAAAAAGTTTCTAATATCGTAAGTCAATCTAACTTCCATTTAACAATTTTAATTATGCAGTCTGGATGGCACAAAAATCTATTTTAATAAAACACAAAAAAAAATATTAATGAGTTCCGCTAATAAAAAAACAAAAAAAGGGAAAATTAATGGGTTCCTTCTTCACCAAAGCCTCCTTGGTATGTTGCCTCAGTTGGAAGTAGAACGCAACACTGATAATCTTTATTCACATATGAACAACGCTTATTACAAAACTCAAATTCAAATCATAACCAATTGGATCCGAGAAACAAAGCATGATCCTTAAAGAAGAAAAGAAAGGAATATTAACAAAAACACAATCCTAGAAGTGGAGAAGATTTTTAACACACAGCCTCTACAGCCAACCTCTTGACGATGTTTCCACAAGTACTGGTTCCAAACTTATCTTCAGTTACATCGATCAAACATGTCTCCTTTCCAACACATTCCTTTTGAAGGATGGAAAGAGCGTCGTTTTCACCTTCGCAGTTGCCTTTTTGGAAGGCACCACAACTGCCTGCTGGATCCCCGAAGCTGGCAAAGTTAACTGCAGAAATGGGGTGACCTTGGCAAGACAATTCCAGGGTTCTGTTCTCATAGGCATTTCCACAAACAGTTCCTGCCCTCACAGTCTTGAAGTTCACTTTCGAAGGATCTCCCCCAAACTCCTCGAACAAAACCAATGTATTGTCCCCGTCTTGAAAGAATGATCGTGGCACATGGTACCTGAATATACATTGAGATGTCATTAAGAACCCAAAAAAGAAAAGATAAAACTCTTGAAGAAATCAAAGTCATTTTTGTTCATAGTTCTTACCATCTCTGAGTAGGTTCACCACATTTTGAGACACATTTTGAGTCACTATATGGGCCACGGTAATCACAAACATCACCGCTGCCGCTGCAAGCACTCTCATCTGCAATGTAACTAGGCCAATATCGGCCAATGCTGTTACCATTGATCCAAGCTTCACCTTTCCCCAGGCCTAGCAAATCAACCACAACAGGATCTGTTCCTGCTGGAGCTTTGAAGGTGGTCATGTACCAGGTCATGTTTCTGTTCACCGGAACCGAATCTGATGCCCATTTGGAAGTTGAACCTGGAGAGTCTGAGTTGTAGTACATTCTTTTAAGTCCATCGAGTCCAACCTTGTAGTTCCAACTGTGAGCGGACAAGTCCTTGATTATTCTCTCATCGCCGAACTTTGAGATCAGCTGGATTGGACCACGGATTCCAGCTCCCACGAGATCAAACTTAGGTCCATAATTCTGTTGCATTCATAAAATAAATAATCCAACACTTTGCAAGTGATATGTTAATGTTATTTTTTCAAAAAAAAAAAAAAAAAACTTTTAATTTATGCATACCATAAAACCAACTGTAGCACTGAGCAATGAAATCAAGTTATCTCCAGGAGACAACTTAACAGGAGTCTCAAGAACATCGCTATAGATACCATATTTTGCCCATTTTGAACCTGAAATTTCAACCAAAACAAACCTTATAACTACTTATTTTCATAAAAAAAAAAAAAATCTTTTGATTGGAATAATTAAAGAAGAAAATGTCAGTAGCCATTACCAAGATATTTGCCATTAACATATGCATGAAGAACATGACCAGTAGCATTGACTCGAAGTGTCATGTTCTCACCCGTAAAAATTGGGTCCTTCTCATCAAGGTTCAAGCTGTAAGAGACTCAAGTTAATCAGATAAATTAAATAAATTACTATACTAGCTAGGTAAAAGAAAGAAAAGATGAACACCAAATGTGTATATATATACTACACTTACTTGGTCATGTACCAAAGATAGTCACTCAGATCATTAGCCCTTTTTTGATCAATAAGGCGATTAGCCTGAACGTCACCTCTTCCTTTTAGAACCGGTCCATCAATGATTTCAGGCCTCCATGACCATGACCATTTAAGAGAAACATTTCTATCCTCATCTTTGCTTCCTTCCTTCACCATAATTGAGGTTTGAGTATTCACCTATAAAAAATAAAGGATTTATCATTTATTTTGAGTCCTATTTTGAGAAAAAATATATCATAAGAAATGCTTTGATTAATTAAAAAAAATTAAAGTTAGTATTAGATTAATTAATTACCCTTGCAGTGTTATAGGCTTCCTTCTCACAATCAGGAAAGATGCTGACAGACCATGCTGGAATGATGTGTGTAGTACCCTGGAAAAGGATAGTGGCATCTTCGGTGGTATTTATATTGGCAATAAAGCAGCTCGATGTCTCATTAGTTGTGTAAATGGTGCCGGAGACAGATTCAGCAAAGTATACATTAGATATGTCTCCATGGGTCAGAGTCGTCTCCATTGAATGCAAAACATCATGAAGTTGCTTCAAGTGACCATATTTTGGTTGATTCAAATTCCCTGTTAAAAATTTAAAAATTTAGAATTCTCTGTAACCATTAAAGCAAGTTCTTATTTAGTAGATTTAGTACCATATTCATCTAGAGGAGCATTATAATCATAAGTGGTGGTGATGTATGGTCCGCCTGCTGTTCTTCCGAAATTGGTTCCACCATGATACTACAACAATATACAATAAGCACGCATATAATCAGATATTAATGCAAAAAGAAAACGCAATTAAATCAGTTAATAATTGGAAAAAAAAAAATCAGAAACCATGTAGTAGTTTTGGAAGGTGCCACCGGTTTGGAAAAAACGTGCAACAGAGTAAGCCAAGTCCTCAGCAGTCCTGAAAGGGTCTGGACCACCCCAGCTCTTAAACCTGAAATTTAAAACGGAAAATTACGTTTAATTTCTTTAGGAAAACCAGTATTGTTAATTTCATACAAACTAGGAAAATGAATAACTTACCAGCCAGTCCAGTTCTCGGTCCACATCTTGGGGCTGTTTGGATCATTTGGTGAGAAGTTATCACAGTACCAACCATTGCAAGTGTTGATGATCGGCTTCGGGGCATCAGATTCTTGACACATGATCCATGGCACACCAATGTTGAGAGATTCAGCCATGTTGGCACACCATTGTACGTAGGCCTTTCCGGGGTCGCCGTAGGCCCCAATCACATTTCCATACTCATTCTCAATCTGAGCTAGGATAATGTTGCCTCCTTGTGATGCGAACAGATTCTCATTTTTCACCATGTTCACAATCAAGGTCGTGAAATTCTGCATCTCTTTCTGCAAAGAAAATTAAACTCATCAAAATTGAAACTAGGGAATTAAAAACCAAAGAAATTTTAACTAGAATGTGAATATTACCATGAAAACGTCATTGGCAGTTCGGAGCTCAATATCGGGCATGTTATGGAGCCAAAGAGGGAAACCTCTGATCATTGATGAACATGTATTGGAATTAATATTGCAAGAAATTATTACATTGTCAACTGCATTAATAAGATACGCATTTATGGAAAAAGAGTTATTTACCCATAGTTCCACTCCCCACAAATATAAGGTCCTATGCGAAGAATAGTGTACAGTCCTTCGTTTTGAATAGCTTTAAGGAACCTTATGAGGTCAAGGTCGCCGGAGAAATCATACTGGCGACGTTGACGTTCATGAGCATTCCAGAAAACATAAGTCTCAATAGCATCGAGTCCGCCTTCTTTCGACTTCTTTATAAGGCTTGGCCACATCTACAATATTGTAATAGTTACAACTTAAGAAAACGATGAATTGGAATGTCGAACGAAAGACAAAAACAATGTAAATTTGATGATGTTTTATGGATACCTCAGCAGTGCTTCTAGTGTAGTGAATGGAGCCCGAGATTAGAACACGACGTTTGCCATCAATGGTAATGGCTCTTCCATCGTGGGAAACTTCAATTGCAGAAGCAATGATGAATGAGGAGAAATACAACACAAGAGTAAATTTTGAAAAAGCCATGATGAGAAATGAGAAGTGATGAAAACTAAGATCACAAGAGCTGTTATTTATAGGATTAAAGGGAGGATATTCTGCGGATAACTAAGAGAGAATATCTTAAAAAATAATTTATTCTGTTAGTTAAATGGTACTCTTATCTGTTGAAGAATTAATCGTAGAATATCTTAGGGAGACATATTTGGGAGATACTTCTGCAATTCTGTTTAACAAAATATTTCTTCGAAATATCTCATGATTTTATATTTTTGTAAAATAATATTGTACTTTTTAAAATCTATTGTTGGAAACCTTCTCATTTTAGTATGGGTAAATAATTAAATAAAATCAACGACTTGTTGATTTGAGTAAAAAAAGTTAGTTTTCTTAAATAAGATATTGAGTTCAAATATTATAAATAGAGAAATAACTACTGAGAAGTTTCTCTTTAATAGGATCCAATACAACTCGATTTTAGATTAGTCAAAACCCAATATAATTATTAGATATCTATAGATTAATATCAAAAAAATAACTAAATAAAATTCTCAATCCAATATTAAGATTCAATTTTAAATTAATCAAAATCCAACATCATTATCAGATATGAGAGGTTACCAAAAAAAATAACTCAATAAAAAAATGTTGTATGGTGTACTGTATGATAAAAATAATTAGATATGAGTTACTCTTATTATTGAAACTCTTTTTTTTTTATTTAATAATTTATATTTTATAGTTTATTGTAATTTATTTATAATTAAATATAGCAAATACAATTTATATAATTTTTTTTTGTATGGACCACTCAATATTCAGAAATCCACTAGGTCACCAACTAATTTAAATTCAAGCCGTGCAGGACTCAACTATTAACAAAACTTTTCCTGACGCGTTTTAATGGATCTGCGTTGTTAAGCTTGAAACCAAAACTAAATAAAAAATCCCTGTCAAATCATTTACCGCTCGTGGGTAATACAATCTATATAATAAAACCATCTTAAGTAAGCCACCCATATGTACTCCCATACTAGTCTATCTTTTATTTAGTTAATTGCTGTGGCATTAATTCCCCATGTGAGGATAACCAACTAGTATGTATGGGGATGACAGTTTCCCTACGTCCGGTGAAGAAGGGGATTCGCGAAATATTGAAGGCGATTTTTTTCACAAGGATCTATATAAAAAGATTTATGAGAAAAGTATTTGTAAGTTCATCTTTTCAATTTTTTTTTTTTAAAAGATATATTTAAAAACTCATCTTCTTATTTATATTTTCAAAAATTAACTATTAACTTAAAAATTTTATTCATATAAATTATATATGTAAATTTTTATATTGATTTAGTAGATCTAACAACTTCATTAACTACAAAAAATTTAATATTATTAAATATATGTCAATAAATAAAATTTTTTTAATCAAAAAATTATAAATGTTACGTTATTATGAAAATTAATATACATGATCTACATAAATATAACTTTCAATCCAATAATTATTTTTAAGGAAATGACCTATCCTATTCTATTCTTAAAAAATTTATAATTTATATTTTTATAATAAATCCAAAGGTTTATCTAATCTATGCTATTAGGGCATAAGTTAAGAATACAATAAATATATATTTTTGTAATTAATTTATATAAAATTTTATAAAAGTTGACATATATTTTAATACTACTAGCACATGAATGATTTTAATTAATTAAATCAAAATCAATATTTACACTTTCAATAAAAATTAATTAAAAAATAAATTTATTGCACCCTTATATCCTTAGAGACATAATAGAAAAACCCTAAATCCAAATACCCCAAACCCACAAACCCAAACTATTTATTTCACACTTCGTTTTGACTCTCCTATCTGCTGTTGTTGTTCCTCTCCGTTCCTTCCTCATTAGTCACTTCTTCCGTTCTTTCTCCTCATTAATTTGATTTATTTCAGATTCTCACTATCTCTATGTCTCCTCACCACTCTCCAGCCTGATAAGTCGCAACGTCTCCTCACCAGACTCACTGGATCTTTCGCAATCTCTTAATTAGATGCTTGCCACTCCTCCTTTTCGTTGCTGCTTCTCTTAGTTGTCAGTCGCGACAATCCATGTTTGTCCTTTGCTCACTTCTAAATGATGTCCATCCTAACGTATTTAGATAAGATAATGATACATATACTTTTTAAAGTTATACATTTTATTACACATTTTGTTATATACTTTGTTACATATTGATTGATAAATAATAAAAATCATCAGTTTTAACGACACTAGTAACAAAAACAGTAAATATGTAACAGAGTATGTAACTTTACATGGTGTATATATATCTATTTTTCCAAAAATCCTCTAGTAGCCTCGTACGTGTGAAATCTGGATGGGGATGTGCCACTTACTTTGTTGAAATGACTTTTCCAACGACCCTCTCCTTCCTCACGGTTAACCTCTTTGCAGATGGTAGGAAGAACATTGGATTAAAATTGAAATTTGCACCTACAGACGATTTGCAAGAGGGAGGGATACCTTCCTGCAGAATGAGTTACGAAATCTGTCTTGGACAACTCCAAGAACTTAAACACCATCGTGACTTAAAATTAACAAATTCTAATTGAACTAAATAACTTGCAATTTAAAATAAATTTACGAGAATAAAATGTGTCCAAATTAAATCAAACATTGTTAAATTAAAATGTTATCTACTGGCAGATTTGGAATTTAAATTGTTGCAGAATTAAAGATTTTATCTTAATTAACAGTAAAATTAACGTGAACAGTAAAATTAACGTGAACAATAATTAAACTAACATGCTTGAAGTTGAAAAGAAGTGTGAACACCACATAAGTAATCATTGAATAAAATGCTACTTATCATAAATATTAAATTAATTGCAAATATTAGAAAGAGAACAATACCTTGCATCAACTTGAAAGATTGAGGTTCATTGCATGAAAGGAAATTGTTGAACTGAATACATGAATTAACTTGCCTATTGGAATGATGAAAAACAATCTAAATCTATCGGGATTTGTGCTGAAATCCGAAATTTGGAAGCAATTTGCAGAGAAAATAAAAGTGTGAAAATTTGTAGATGTTTGAGTAGGACTGGCCCTATGTTCTCCTTTCCAAAATTTCCTTTTTGTTCTCCTTATACCGACAATAACCTCCACTTTTTTGCAGTTACACAATCATGGGTAGTTTATTGAGGTAATGGGATAGCTCACCAATTGACTTGGTCTTATCTTCTTGCAGATTTTCATTATCTGTACCCTTATCAAATAAAATCCTTCTTCGACTACAATTTCCTCCTATATTTTAGCTCAAGCAGTCCCTTTTTACCTCAAAGAGATAATTACATAGTAAAACCTCATTTTTATCTCTCCTTTTTTTCTAACATGACAATTGATCTGTCATGGGACCCAGAATCACAAATTTGACATGGTTTAATCTCCTTTATCCACTAAAAAAAATATTTTACACATGGCTTTATCTTAAAATTTTACAATTTATGGTGCAAACAATATCATTTTCCATTTAGATAAGAACAAACATTGTTGAATATGATATAACCACACCCACTCTCATTAGTAAGGAATCCTTTTCTTATCTAATGATTTAACTTCACAATACATTTTTTGAAAAAAGGTGGTGATATAGGGATAATTTTTTTATATTATTTTTTCATATAATTTTTACATGTTATTAAATGAGTAGATTCATATAATATTATAGGTTTTAAATAAATAAAAAGAGTCAATTATTTAAATAACACATAAGATTATATAAAAAAGTGGTATAAAAATATTATTCATAAATCATTTTCCTTTTGAAATTAAATTCAACCCAAAAATAGGTATTGACAAATTCATTCTAAAAGTTTGATGTGTATATTATAAAAAAAGAGTAGGGTCCACTTAATCAAAAGTTTTACCAATCACTTTTTTTTTTATTTTGAATAGTGAAATTTTATTTATTTTTATTATATTTATTAAAAATAACTATTTTTTTGTCTAAAAAATCACAATAAATTTTAATTATTAAAAATAAAAAAATATATGATCATAAGATTTGTAAGTAAATCATTACTCAATAAAAATAATATCTTACGATTTAAAGTATACATGCTGACAACTTACTCTATTAAACGAAGTGATTTTTTTAAATTTAGGGTTATTTTTTTCATTTAATAATTTTTATTTTATACTCTTAAATACAAAATTAGAGTGCAAAACAAAATTCCTTTGTAAAATTACCCCGTGGCCCAAAAGACACTTTTCCAGTATCACTGGGCTTCGTGGGCCCCAACGCGACATAAAATTTTCCGAGGCCTTAACTCGCAATAACAAAATCCAATCCCAACATTACACGTGCTTTTTTTCACGCGTGACTGGGACCCTCCCCCTGGATCCCGGTTTTCAGTCCAGTGGGCGAGGAAAACTGCTCACTATTTCAAATGACCTTCCTACCCCTAATCATTCCATATCATTGGGGGTATTTAAGTAATCTCAAACTCCACAAAAAACGCTTTATCTCACGTCGCATTCAATGGGCCCACCAAAGAAACTTGTTTGGTCTGGTTTTCGGAATGGTAATGAGTGTGGGACATGACAAGTCCCCATCATGCCATTCGATTCGTGACACGTGCCGAAATTAACGGGTGATGGCGGCCAATGGAATCTTTTAGGGGGGGGAGTTTTCAAAATTGTGGGCCCAGGGTTGCCCCAGTCAGGTCTCGATCACCAAACAAAGACACAATGAATGGGCTGGCCCATCTGAAAGGTGAAGTGACCTTTATGGAGAAAGAAAATCATATTATTGGGAACCTATGGGAAAAAAATATTGTTTTATGCACCTTGGGTCATTAACAAAAGATGTTCAGTTTTTTTTTTTTTTTTTTAGCAAGAATTGTTTATTAAAAATAAATTTTATTTTATAAATTTATTTAAATATTTTTAATAAAATTATTTTTTATTATTTCATTAAAAATATTTAAATAAATTTATAAAATAAACTATATTTTTAATATACAATTTATCTTGTAAAATATATTTTTATTAATATAAATACACTAAATTTTTCATTACTTCCAATTGCACCCCAAAATTCCTAATTTAATCCATTAGTCTATTTTGTTACTTGATAAAGGGTTCAACCAAAAGTGGATTTTTCTTCCACTTTAGTCCGTGCATGGTGGCGACATGAACACGATCTGATGGGAAAGAAAGTGCAAAAAAATAAAATGAGATGTTAAATTCAAACATTTAAATTTAGATTTCATTTAAATAAAATTAAGATTTTAAAGCTTCTATTCTTACAGCAATTGAAATCTTAAGAGTACATACAGCACATCAAACACTTGCAACCATTACAGTTTTGTTCTTTTAATCAAATTTGGCATGACTAAGTTTTGAAGGGGCATTAACGGATTGTAATGAGTTCTAGGGTGCAATTTGAAAGAAAAGTATCACGGGTACACTTATGGGACCTATAGACCATAGGTTGGGACTAGGGAGGTTCCATTATTTTGATACTTTAATAAAAGTTATAAAAGTTATAAAAGTTATAAAAGTTTGGATACACCTAAAAGATACATTTAATGCAATTTTTAATCATTAAGTTATAGTATAGAATAAGTAACGGGATTTTTTTAATATATATTTTTAAAATACAAGATAAAATGTGTAATTATTAAAATTTTTGAATATTAATTAGTATTAAAAGATATAAATTAATTTTAATTAATTAATTAATTAATTAAAACTATATACATGATAATAGTAATAAAATTAATGTTAATTTTTAATATAAAAATTACATTCTTAATTAAACCTTAAGAATATAAATAAATTTTAATTTTAATTTTAATAATAACTAATTAAATTAATACAAAAAAATCAAGATATTCAATTATAATCATAAAATGTATAATATATTACGTGAATTTTAATTTTATTAAATATATTATATAATAATTATTAGATATTTTAATATTTTTAATACCAAAATATTTTAATTTTCTCTTTATTTTTAATACCATATAAATTAATACACAAATTAATATCAAAATTTTCATTTTTATAAAATTTATTAACAGATAAAATAAAAATTTATTAATCACACACTTCACTTAAGCATACAATTTTATTTAAAAAATCCTATTAATAATAGAGAGTTTATTGGAGGATATTTTAGTTCTGTTTGGGCAAGGCAGTAACCTGGTGAGAGCTTTTGTTTTATAAATACAATTCAGTTTCTTCATTTCTTTAGAAAGATTTTTTATTTGGGTTTTTTGGATTTTGTTTTGGTACTTGAAGTGATGATGGGTAAGAGACCCCGTCCGATCATCGGAAAATTGTCTGAATTGTCGGTAGCCGGCGGCAATCATCGTGGGGTTGCGGATGTCGTGACGACAAACCCCAAAAGTCCATTGGATTTCAGAATTCCATCCCCAAGAGTGATGAAGAATTACTATAACGATGGGGTTGGGTTGAAAATCGTTGCCGCCCTGGAGAAATCCGGTGACTGTTGCGGCAGGCTGGCCGTTCGCAGCTCGAATTTGAGTCGTTTTTGTGGTACTGGTACGTTCCTTAACTATCCCAGCAGAACTTTTGGGGGGTTCAGAGGAAGGTGTGGAGATTGGGAAATGGAGAGTTCGGAAAATTATACTTATGTCACTTACCATCGACCCGATAAATCAGTCACTAAGGTGTTTTCCGATGGCTGCGAGCAAAGGAGAAGCAACGACGCCGGTCCGACCAAGGCACCGCCGAAATGGTTTATAGAAGATGTTGCCACATACCCAACTCCGGATTTTCTCAGTTCATGCCATTTGTGCCGGAAAAATCTCGACGGCAAAGATATCTATATGTACAGGTAAATAGAAATCTTCTACTTTCATTCGTTCCTGTTATCATGTCCTCCTTCCTCACTCAACATAGGTTTGAACTCAAGACATCCAATTTAGAGATTAAGTTCTTACAGACACACCCTTTGGCAGGCATTTCAATCCTAATAATCTTTTTTTTTTTTAATTGATTGAATTGGTTTTTCTTGGACATGAATGGTGGATTGTGAGATTCATGATGAATTAACATGTTTGTGCAGAGGGGAGAAAGGGTTCTGTAGTCCAGAGTGTAGGTCGAGACAAATAATGATGGACGAGATGGACGAACGGAACGAACAGCAGTGCCGTTCGGAAGCTTCAATATCGACTAAAGTGTCGACCCCAGCGCAAAATTCCGACCACATATTCAC